TTTTCTCTATCTAAGCGATAAGAATAGTGTGTGTGTGTGTGTGTGTGTGTGTGTGTGTGTGTGTATGTGTTATGTAAAAATGTACAACAGAACCATCTGAGGCGCTGGAGAATAGTTAAAACAGAAAGTGGATTTAGAGAGTTCTTAAAGGACAAACTGTAAATTTTTGGCATTTTACCACAGGGGACTCTCCAGTTTGCATCCAGATCAAGAAGTAAAAAGTGCACCTTTACTGGCTCAGATTATCAAAAACTAATGTTCAGGGCTGAACAGACAAGCACAAATTTGAGAAGTTCATAAGTCCTAGAAAAGAAGAAGCCAAAGGCCATAATCCTCAGGACTGGCATATAGAACTCATCACAATTGCTGGTGAACTACTAAAATAACACATATACAGAACACAGAGGGACCTACAAAAAAGCAGCTATTAGAACCCGAAAAAAATGGAGAATCAGCTCCTCATCACTGCAAGGGACATAGAATTTGGAACTTGAATCTAGACAGTAACCAATGTGTAGAATAAAAATTAATCTTTTGAGATATATATAACAGTACTCACAAACTATATGATGTATAACTTATAATATCCGGGTAGAATTTAGAATTGATATTCAGTAAAATAAAAGCAAAATGTGACCCCTATTTCAGAAATAAAGTCACTCAAATAATACAGACATTTCAAGTAGCAGACAAGAAAGTTAAATGACACAGAAATAAATTTATGGACTTAAAATGAGGACTGTTGGCAATAAAACAAATTTTATAAAAAGGGCACTCAGGAACTTTCCAGAATGCGTGTTGAGAATTAGAGGAGTAATGCCTGCCTGAGCTGTCAAAAGCTAAGTGCTCCTGGGACCAGCAGTTGGCATAATGGCTGTGTTGCTAGACTCCCACGTAGTCGACCACGGTTTGAGTCCGGGACCTAATGGCTTAAACTGACGCTGGGTATGTGAGCATGCGTGCCCAAGATCCCAAGAGGAGAATGCAGAAGGGACTGCGGTGTGGCCATCCCTCCTAAGGGTGATTTCTTGCTTTCTATCTCTCTGTCTCTCTCTGTCTTTCTGGTGAGTGCACACACCCTATAGCAAAAACCTCTCAAAAAGAAAAAAAGCTAAGTGCTCCTATGCTAGCTACAGCCCACTCACTGCCAGTATGAAGGGGTGAAAGAAATCACTTCCTATGATGTATTAGGGGTCAAACACAATGCCACCCAGGAAGATTAAAAAAGACTTCTTGGAAGCTGGTTAT